TCCCTACCTGAGCCATCATACGGTTTGCCAGAACTTCCTTGACACCAGTGGAAAGTAGTTCTCCATATCCACCATGAGTCCCTCCCACACCCAGGTTTTGTGTGCACAATCACCACAGCTGCAGCCTTTTGGGCCTTCTGGTAGCCATTTGCTGCCCTAAAGGCCTCCTTCACTACTGGTGTCCACCAACAGGTACCCGGGTTGTCACTGACAACTTTCTGATCACAGCTATGAGTAGCAGCCTCCACAGTGGAGGTTATGAACATGCTCCAACCTCCCCTGGGTTGCATGAGAAAATCTGCCGGTGATAGGAGTTAAAGACCTTGTGGAAAGGACTTCAACCAATTGTTCCCAGTTCAGATATATGACAGTATACATACAGTACATTCAGTGTGGAAATAATTCACACTTAAAAGCCACTTATGAGATTATGTGATTAGGTTACCTGATGACAAACACCACCCCATCATCAAGACCATGGGATGGAATGTAAAGCTCTGGTAAAAGCTATTGAGTAGATTTTGAATTTTATTATATGGGAACTTTAGAAGAATACTGGACATTCAAGAGTTAAAATCCAAATGATTTACATTTAAGTGTATTGTTTAGCATTTAGATTTAACAGCGAAGGCAGGTTGCACTGATACAGCACACATATATTCTATGAAAAGCGTTAAATGTTTGCAGGGTCAACTGAGTCACATAACTTCATTGAAGTTCACCACTATTTAGTAAATGTGACAGACAACAAACAGTTCGCATTGTGGTTAAACTCACATTTGCCCTTCAAGTACATCATGGACTGAGGTCCCCAGTGGATATTCAGCTGAGGGGAAAGAGACAATAACTGTGGTAAGAGGATGTGTTAGAGGAAAGCAACAGAACCTGTGAGTAGCTGGTCAGTTTTACCTTGTGTGCTTGACAGGACTGTACCAACAGGGAGATGACTAAAGTATACGTCCAGACAACTGTGGCCTTTATCTTCTAGAATAAGAACAAGCACACTATAAAAATTATACAGCCTGGCTTCACAGCGGTTGTTCATTTTGGTCGAGGCTCTTCTCTGTTCTGGCTCCACAGTGGTGAAACCAGCTCCTTGTGAGGTCAGGACAGCAGAGCAGCTTCACATTTTAAAGAACCACCTTTTCACTCTACATCTCAACAACTCTTGCTAGCACTGTTTTTGTATTTCTTAAAAAAACTTTAAATGCATATATTGCAGCACTGAACATGCTTTTGTTTTATAGCTCTAGGCCTGAAGTGGTTTAAATGCTCTTTAAGTTGCTGTACCTCAGACAAAAGCACCTGCATCTGTATGTAGCATAATATAGAATGATGATAAAGCACAAACATGTGGATGTGTATAATCTGTATTTGTACACAGACAAACAAGTATCCTTTGTTTTGCATCCTGAACACAATGTGATTACATTTAGTGAAATGTGTCACTTGTGGAACATACACTATGGGGAACCCACAATAATGTCAATGAGGTGTAAACAGTATTAACTGCACTTCTCAGCCAAAACTATTTCCAGTGCAAATTTATTACTAAAACGTACAGTATCTCACCACTTGACAGGTGCTCCTGTAACAAGGTAATCAGTGTCAATCACTTCAGCTGCCAGTGGTTTATCAGTTTATATTATATTGTATTGTATTGTATTAAATTATATTATATTATATTAAATGACATTATATTCTAATAACATGAAGGAATTTTTGCAGGAATACTGCATTAGAATAAAGATATACTGTATGTATACAGTAAGTATTTTTTGTTTTTAGGTATTTGAGAGGTATCGGTATGTTTAAATGCCTAGGAATCTGAGAACAATATTATCATTTATTATGTGATCTGCAAAAAGAAAAATCAGTTAACTGTGAATCTGTTTAATTTTAGAACTTTACAATTAGGATAATGATGTTATGAAGCTATTATATTTTTAACTGTTTATTAATTTACTGCCCACTTTGTGTTTAAAACATTTAAAATAATTAAAAAATATAACTTGTTTAAATAGCCTGGTCTCCTTTTTTCAACTTTTTTTATGTCATTTTTTATGACATTTATGTCCACGCCTATAGTACTTTTTTTCTTTTACTTCTTAAATAAGTGTTTAAAGGGGTGGCCATTGATATTATAATACAGTATTTTTAAATAATGATGACTCAATAAAATCATTAACAGATGAACTAAAAGTACTGGTACTAACTGAGTAAATCATTTTAACCGCAATTATTGTATCTTGAGTAGTTATAAAAAATAAATTAATAACCAAACACAGTATAAAAAAAATAAATAAATAGTACTTTTCTTCAGTGACTCGGTCATTTTAACAAAACAATGCAAATGCGTCAAAATACATTTCAACTGTAAATAGCTCTATACTTTAATGAAGACGGCTTTCACAAAACTCAAATAAAATTTAGAAAAGCAGGCATATCTCCAATCAAACTGTTTTGTAAAGAAAGAACACACAAGAGACTAAATATAAAAAGTTCTCTCCGTGCAGTCGTTTCCACTTACCATGTCTGCTGCGGTGAGAGCAGCTGGTCCAGTCATAGCAGGTGGCTGTGTTTCAAAGCCGTGTTCCAGGCTGCTTATATCCCCTAGCAGCAGCAGCAGTAACAGGTTCGATCCTGCTCCCTGTGAGGCCTGGCAGGACTCCTGTTTACTAGAGGCTAAAAAACAGCACAAAAACACTGGCTGACGTCAAAACCGTAATCTGCAGCGAGGAACATCGATAGTATGAACTACTGTGCTATTCCTAAAAGTCATTGGTGTTGTGTTTGCGTGTGTGCTGTTGTCCCAGTGGGTATTTCAGAGGTATTTCATGGTGCTGCTGCTTGTATTTCCATTAGAGGTTTCCTACTATCAGGAAATTAACTTATTTCTGAGCTGATTATCTGAATACACAGCTTCATCCATCCTCATATCTTCAAATAAACTGGATTTGGAGCAAACAAACATTTACCATTCATGGAACTTGTACCATGACAACACAATAGAAATGAGGGTCTTTGCGTTAGGTTATGACACAGTGCTCACCCACCAGACAGGAGCACCACATCAGGTGAAAACAAAACAGGAAATGCAGTAAATCTGGAGATAGCGTGCATTTTGCCTGGTTGCTCATCTCAAGCAGAGAACCCCTTTACTGTGAGATGTGTTCCAGCATGTGGCCTCAACATCATGATCAGATTTAATACTGAAACAAGATATAAATCTATGAAGCTTTAAGCACATGAATATTTAAGAACCTGCTATGAAAACTGTTTCTTGTGTCTGCACTCAGGTCCTCTCCAGTTGCCTCACTAGAAATGTGACACTTGTTTACTAAATATCTCTGATTAGCCAGATCTTACTGCTATCAGGGGTAGCAGAGATGCTTCTACAGCTTGATTAGAGCCCACTGGATCCTAATTTAATTTAATGGATTAGTTAGGACTGCATATCTCCCAGGGCCCCAGACTGCAGCCATTGATCTACTGTTGATGGCTGGACCTTGCCCAGAGAGGTGGCATCTGCCCTGGTGGGTCAAAAATGGCTTTGTTTCAGTCAAGCAGGAGTGGACCTCTTTGTCAGGAGAACACTCACTGTCCCCTGTGGACTTCGATGTGGGGCCTGCCAGGGCCACTCAGAGCAGATGCCTTGAGCCTTTCATGGTCTCAGGTGAGACTGTATGCTTTTCCCCACTTCCTCTCTTGCCAGCTTTCCTCAGGAGGGTGTGGCTACTGTGTGCCCAAGTCCTCTTGGTGGCTCCGAACTGGCCCCAGTGGTCCTAGATGGTGGAGATCCAGGACCCCAGGGTCCTTAAACTTTGTGTGTGGCCCTTGAACAGCAGTGTTTACAGGTTCTTGGCCTAGACTGCACCCCCCCACCCCCCACCCCAGGATCTGAGTATTGCACCTCAGTTGACTGTTACATAGTCCCTCAGTCCCCTGAGAGGAAAGCCCTCTTCTTCTCATTTAGCAGTACTTTTAACTCGGGGCTCACCCACGGCTTGTTGTTAGGAAAATACTATACTCTCCTGGATGGTATGGTATTTTCCACACAGAAGTTTATGTAATGCGAAACACAGTGTGTGAGGCCGTCTATGTCCTCTCCATGAGGACTGCAGAGGATGTCCCAGTCTTGGTCTGCACACTCCCTGAGGACCCTGGGGCTGATGTGGTCAGGGCCTGTGGCCTTCCTGGCATACTTTAAATCCAGAGTTTTATTGTCCCTTGTGTGGCAATTTACATACTGGGTGAAGTTTGTGAGGGTGGCCGAGAAGGGGAGAGAAGCATGGTTAAAGTCCCCTGAGATAAGAATTAAAGCCTGTGCATGTTGTGTCTGCAGGCCGGCTATGGTGCTCAGCGCGCACTGACATGCAGCCTTAGTGTCGGCTAAGGATTATTATTATTATACAGATTAAAGATTATTATTATTATACATCCATCCATTATCTAGATCACTTATTCCTGAAAAGGGTTTTGGGTGGGGGGCTGGAGCCAATCCCAGATGACATTGCGTGAGAGGCAGGGTCCACCCTAGACAGGTCGACATGTAGACAAACAACCACACACACGCCAACAGGCAATTTAGTGCCACCAGTCAACCTAAGCTAAGCATGTGTTTGGACTGAGGGAAGAAGCCGGAGTACCTGGGGAAAACCCACACAGGCACAAGGAGAACATGCAGACTCCACACAGAAAGGCCCCAGGTTGGCCAGGGCTCCACCCTGGAACCTCCTTGCTGTGAGGTGACAGCGCTAACCGCTGCACCACTGTGCCGTCTATTATTATGATTATTATTACTATTATTATTATTATATCTTCACCATATCCCCTAACCCCTGTGACTCATGATGAAATACATGGTTTATGGTTGCTTCCTTGTTGTTTCTGGTGTGCTTCAGGTCCCAGGTAAGTTGGGGTGGGCAGTTATGGATGGATACGATATGGATGCTTGAGCTCATGCCCTCCGGATACCTGTCTGTTTTCCCCTAGGTCCTTTGCCCTGGGCTGTGCCTGTATCACACAGAATGTTTTTTAATGCACCACAAGTCACCACTTGAGGTACATACATTCACATCTGTTATAGCTTTAAGAGGGTTTTGTATTCATTAATATACTCCTCCTCCCAAACCCAGATACACATGCACACACGTGCTAACACACACACACACACAGAAAATTAGTTGAACTGATTCATCAGTGTTTTCCTCTTCTTTCTCTCAGCTTATGTTTGTTGTGCTATACAACCCCAAATCAAAATTTGGTGGGACAGGATGTAAAATCAAAATTAAAACTGAAACTAGTGACGTGTAAATCATCTGTGTCCTACAGTATATTACAACTAGAAAATTGTATTTTCTGAAGAAAATGCGTATGGATGCTGAGTGCTGAAAAATTGCCCTGAAAATGTTGAACATTTTGACACCTGAATGCTTTTGCTGGCTGAAAGTATACCGAAGTTGAAGTTGAATGGGGCAAGATTTTCAAAATAAAGCTAAATATTTCAAGAGTATGAAGTTTAGAAAAATTCTGAATAGAAGCATGAATAATCTTGAGGAGCTGAACATTTTGATAGCTAAAAGCATGCAGAAGTAGAGTTTTCCCATTCATTTGAATGGGGCAGGATTTTCAAAATAAAGCTAAATATTTCAAGAGTATGAAGTTTAGAAAAATTCTGAATAGAAGCATGAATAATCTTGAGGAGGTGAACATTTTGATAGGTGAAATTATACTGAAGAAGAACTTTCCCATTCATTTGAATGGGGCAGGATTTTCAAAATAAAGCTAAATATTTCAAGAGTATGAAGTTTAGAAAAATTCTGAAGAGAACCAAGAATGTCCTTGAAGAGCTGAACATTTTGATAGCTGAAATAGCTGAAATTATCCAGGAGTAGAATTTTCCCATTCATTTGAATGGGGCAAGATTTTCAAAATAAAACTAAATATTTCAAAAGTATGAAGTTTAGAAAAATTCTGAAGAGAAACATGAATGTCCTTGAAGAGCTGAACATTTTGATAGCTGAAATTATGCTCAAGTAGAATTTTCCCATTCATTTGAATGGGGCAAGATTTTCAAAATAAAGCTAAATATTTCAAAAGTATGAAGTTTAGAAAACTTCTGA